TAAGAGAAACGAAGCTGCACACACATGCTCGACTGCTCTATCAATTTTTGAACTTGCCAAATTTAAAAGTTTATCAAAGAAATGGCACCAAAGTTGTATTACGACGGATAATCTACCACATTTCGCATCGATTACAATCATTAATTCTTTCGAAAGACCCAAAAGACTTAAACTAGAAGAATAGACCACAAAACATACAATAAAATCGAAAACGCCAGGTCAAGGATTACTAAAGAACTGACAACGCGACAGCAGCAACGACAGCAACTCACGACCATCTTCACAATGAGGAATATGACTTTCGAAAACGATACAATTTGTGCCCTAAGGAAAGGTCATTGTACATTGCATCACTAGATTTACCGCAGGGTCGACGCAACGGAAGGGAATAGCCTCGCCGCTTATCACCCGAAATTTCTCGTTAAGATTACGGAAACCAGCAGACGGCGTGTGCCTTTAAAACTCTTACTTTCTCGAAAATTTTGCCATGTAACATATGGCGACATGCATATTTATGAACTCGTCTCTTCACGCTTGTTACGATGAGCTAAAAAAATCTTTAGGGTTTCATTTAAAAAATAGAAGTTTGGTCAATATCTCTGCAATGAAAAATGCAATAGAATAATATTATGCATGACCATATGTGCCCCTTGCATATAGTAGTTTTAGTGAAAACCGCATCTCAGTATCTGCTAGGGTTCAGGAGAAAATTGAAGGGAACATCTTAAGTGGGCCACACGGTATATTAGAATTTATAGATTTTCCTAGAGCTCATCATATGCTCGAAACGTCGAAAATAGAGAGCACACTAAACCCATCATTCCTGTATTGATGTTAATCGTACAATTCGTATCGTCCAATCGTACAAACATTGACCTTTATCATTATACGATAGTTTCCCCAGGAGGTCAGAAAGAATATTTTGAATATAATAGAACAACTTACTACAAATACAAATGAAAATTACGAATTTATTTATAGAATTCAACACCTGATTTTATTTAAATACATGATCAATTATCATTATTTTATAAAAATATTACAAATTATTTTACAGATCCGGACGAATTTTATGGCTTTGTTCCGCGGTGCTCAGCCAGTGATTATTCCGCCGGGAGGCGGGTCCGGCCGTGGCTAAGCCGCTCGGGGCGATTGCCGCGCCGCAGAACGCGAAGTCTCAATGCCAGCGGCTGCGACCGGGGCGTTAAGTCACAGGTGAAAGGGCGACGGCGCTCGCGTCACCGGCCACCGGCTACACATCGCGCGACCGCCGCCAATTATCGCACGCGCCAATGGCGCAGGCGGCCTCGCAGCCGCCGCGCCTCGCCGTTGGGGTAACAGAACCCCGCCGGCCTCATCACGCCAGCGGCCGACGCGCTGCTCCTGCCCGATCTGCGATCTCCCTTTTTCAATTTTGTTCAACACGCGAGACAAATTTTAAAATGACAACATTCCTCGACGCAGAAATCAATTTTTTAAAAGTCGTGGAAGTTAATCCGTTTTTATGATCACCTGCTTGACAGCCATAAAAACAATCAATGCCAATAAATGTGGCTTATAAATTTCTTTAATCACGAACCTGTTGTGTATTTCATTCCAACGCATAAAATTAACGTGAATATAATCGTTTCAGCATCCCACCGTGATTAAAAATCACGTTTCAACTCTTTACGCAACCACTGCTTGAGGCGATTCGCAACCAGGTAGGGGCTTCAGGCACCGGAAACGGCGTGTCGGTCCGTTTATGAGGCCGTGTTCGTGTCGGGCGGACATATCGAGCGCGCGATTAACACTTGTTTTGGCGTGAGGGGATTCCGAAGGAGGCCTTGGTCCTGGGGGGGGGGGAGGAGAGGGGAAGGGAGAGTAGGGGAGGAGTCGAGCGCCTTTGTGCTATCTGCGTGAGCTTTTCCGCGGAACATACACAACAGCCTCGACCCTTCCGTGATCTTTGTCGCGCGGGGCGACAGAGGGGCGAGGGGGAGGGGGAGGTGCGAGGCCGAGGGCTGCGGGGCGCGGCAGTCTCGCGAGGCCAAGTGACGCATGCGCTGCGGCGCGGGAATCCGTTAAACGCCCCGCGCGCCGCGCTTACACACAACCGCCAATAGCCACGGCCCCGCTCCGCTCCGCTCTTATTTATTACTGCGTTGCTCTCCTGATCTTTGCAGGACTGGGAATAACGCTCAGGAAGCGATACAAGGGCGACATAAAGATTATGTGTAAATGAGTGGCAACTACTAGAAACTGGAGTTGTTTCAGTTGGACCTCCATTGATTTAGCTAAATTGTATGAAACTACTCGTTTACAATCACGAGCTTATCTTTCTTTTTAAGTATAATTTTTGTTACTTTATGCAGTTTTTTTTGCTTTAAAAATGTTTTGGTGTTAATGTCATTTTTCTAGCACTGCTAGACTATTTATTATTGCTACTCGTATATTTCCGGTATGGGGATCGTATGACATCCCGTAAATGTAATTATTAGTGTTGATTTTATTCGTAAGATGTGCATATTCAATATGAATAAAATATTGAAACACGAAGTCTCGTCGCCAAGAAACTGCCTATTCACAAAAATATTTTACACTAAAAAAATATAAGTTTCAGACGATGCAGATTTATAGCAAAAACTGAATGTTGGTAATTTTTAGAATGCAATTATATGTCCGATATGTATGGTGACTTTTACGGCAAACCATCAAACTAGTAGCAATAAAAACTTAATACAAATTCAACGTCAAATCAAGGCGAATTTATATGTACAATCAGAGTATACATTGAAATTGCAATTAAGAGGAATATCCCTTAAATCAGAAAGTCATATGAAAAAATTTTATTCCCCGTCCCGATTTGCGCGTTAAATATTTTATGAACCCAAGTCTTTACAGCAACTAACTCACTATATATACAACTCGTAAATGTGTTTTGTACTGTACAAAATTTCGCCTACAAAATTCAATACTTCACTCAAAAAATATTCAATTCCCATTTAAGCATGTGCTTATGTTTCCTACCCATTGTTCAAGGAACAAATATATTCCAAAAAATGCATAAATATACTTCTTCATTGTGGCCGAGAGAGGTCCAGTAAATCAGTATTTTGTGCTTATCGCCGTTAATCAGTCCAGTTCGCACTAAAAGCAAAGCCATGTCTTAATTCTCTACACATCCCCATGAATATGTAGATGTGATTACTGCAATATATTTAGTCGGAACAAATTACTACACAGCAAGAGAAAAAACATCTTAGTTTTTATTTGTTCGCCCATTAAATTAAATATCAAGTATTTCTAAGAGTTAACGCTATCAGAGAAATACGTTCTTAAAATTTAATTCGTGTTCATTCCAGCATGCAACAATTTATTTAGAGAAGAAACAAATTAGCTTATAAGAAACCAGGCATTTGTCGAGTTATTGCAAGTTTCGCAATAAATCAGCGTACATAACACAGCTTAATATCACGCTTGAAGACTTTAGAAGAGCTATTAAAATTCTCTTGCACTTTCCAAGCATTCCCAGGGGCGGTAGGTCAGTCCATGAAGAACATAGGATGTGCACTGCAGGAATGAACAGATAAATCCCAAAACAATTTATTTCATGCTGTTGCTTTTCACTTGTTCAAGATACGGGGCAGGACAGCAATTTAGCAGTATGTGTATACCTGTATTGTAAACATTTATCATGTGAGAACTTGAAATTGTGATACCAATTACCCAATGGCTTATTTTATATCAAATTCGTAGCTTACGTCATAACACAAGTTTTGATAATGTATTTTTCAAAATAAATAATTTATGTACTGATAATTTCATACACAATATTTGTTCCCTAAGTCTCTGAAACTTCTGTATCTTCCTTTTATTGCATTTCATTGTAACTTTCATTTCATTAAAGCTGTTAATTTGTATTTGTTTACTATCTACATGGAGTGTTACGGCGTATTTCTAAAAAAAATTGCAGGTAGTATTAAGAGGTTATAATGGCATCCGTTCCTGTTGATTGTCGTAGTTTCATAACATTATCTATGTTTTAGGAGATAAGCGAGTAAGACGTTAACTTAAAATCCGGGAGGAATGTTTTTTATAGTAGTCGTTACGAAATTAACCTCGAACTGTAATAATCCACTTCTTAACCTTGAGACGAATAATATTCTATTTCTTCTATTTCATTGAAGTGCCAAATTTTATTTTTAATAAATAGGGGGCGGATTTTAATAAAATGTCATGTTTTCCTTTTCACTTAATAACAATGCCTTTTAGTATAGACATTCTTTTTACGTTATACCAAAAAGAAATAAGTTATTTTTATATGACTTTTCTTTGTATTTTTCTTCAATTTCGACTAATATGTCATTTTTGAAATTTTTTTCGTCATATTTAAGGAATTTTAAAACATTTTTCGCGGATTCCGTCGATTTTAATGGTACTTGCTTCAAATAATATTTACGAGGTGCAACAAATGTTCTTCACAGAATGCCTGACTAACCTTTTCGATTTCTTAGCTCAGAAATTGCAATGTCAGCCGTTGTATCTAATGTAAGGTTCCCGTGATGCCTATAAGCACTATTGTCGGTTTGGCGGATTTCACTAGAACTAAAGACAGATTTCCTGGTCCAGCCCATTCAAGCTGAGTTTACTTGAACGAAAGGAAGAAACCTCTATTACATCAGAAACATATGCAACTGCTTGAGTTGTTCATCTGACCTGCTTTTGATCAAATGTTTTACGTAATTTTTCTTTGTTCATAGAACACGTTTAACGCATTTTAAGAGCATTTTATTGATAATTTTTGGCGATGATTTAGGTCATCAAAAGCCGCTCTCTAATAATAAACGAGACATCGGCGTAGGTGTTGAACACTCCGTTTCAATCAAGGGAGATGAGCCGAAGCCCCGCCTGGCGCTTATTTCCATTGAATGGCGGCGCACGATGAGCGTCTCGGGTGATGACAGATAGCGGCGGAGGCGCGAAGCGAATCGGGCTCAATGAACGACTCACTCACTCACCTGCTGGCTGCTTCCGTGATGAGCCCCCTCTGCGCGCGCATCTCGTTGTCATGGGCCTCCTCGCGCGCCGCCTGCCGCAGACTGCGCGACGCGGCGCGGCGCGATGCTCATCTGGAGTGACGGCGGGCGCGAGCGCTGCAAAGGCGGAAACGGACATCTTAGGGTGGCGGACGGCCGGGCAATCAGAGCTTTGCTCATTAAGGGCGCAAATAAAAGAGTTCTCTTGACGACTTTTTTTTCAGAAATTTTAATTTTCGATCGTTTTGAGCTTGTCCCGAGCGGTGCTTGGTTAGTGAGAGATACCTGGACGGGGAAAACGCGCAAGCTGGTGGGTAATTCAACGCCGGATCTCGCGATCAATCGGGGGAAGATCACTGGAAGATCACTGCCGCCTCCCGTGATAAAAACCTTACTGAAATGCCTTAGTAGTTGACGCGCCCTTAGTATTAACCCTTAGTAGTTAACGTATGTACTCGCATAACACGAAATTTGCTTCCCAAGAACAAAATTTGGGTCTCGGGAGAAATATTTTTTTTTAGAATATTCATTTGGTTATTACGAGTGACATGAACATCAAATAATTTTTTGCGTCCGGCATAGCCCTCAGTTTGTATTACTCCATCAGTGAATTTAAATAGTACCTTGAATTTGAAGCCCACCAGAGGTCTCTAACTTCAGTCACCGCCTTTCGCCTCCGAACAATGAGGATCCTTTTCAAGAAATTTCGCAAATACGTTCATCACGTGCTTCTCACAATGCGACACACGGACAATGTGGCAGCTCACGGGGTCGCTACAGCTATCGCTCGTTAAAGTGATATTACTTAAAGTGCAATTCTTTACAGCAAATTCAACAAGTGGTCTTCAATCTTTGAATGTAAGAATAATTTAAATTTTGATGACAAATTACCGACTGAGGCTTGGCATTGCTGGCTGCAATTCACACAATGGGAAAGAACAATTCCATCTTGAAATAATCTTTACTCGATACGGGCAGAACAATAACGCAAGGTTGGGATTCAATGCCAGCAATTCACAGCTTCAGAACATGACATTGCACAGACACCGGCGAGATACAACGTATGGAATAGAATGGAGATATTCCAGGAATTTATACCTCGCAGTACGAGTTTACAAACGTACACGGGAATAGTAGACTTTGCTTTACGCGAGAACTGCGAAACTGTTGCAGAAACAACTGCAAAAAATGAAAAATTATCTTCCAAAGAACTTTATGGAGAAGAAATTCAGAAGCCTCCCCAACAACAGTGCCTTCAATTTTTGTTGAGACTAGCAGAAACTTCAAACATCAGTAAGGAGTCTTTGGAAGGTAATGAATCTGACCGCGTGCAACATGTCCTCCTCATCACCGACAACGCAATGTCACAGACGTATTATGATTTATTAATAAAACGAATTGTAGAGCTAGATTACGTAAGTAATAAATGTCTATTCAAATTTAGTAATTTTTCTCTTTTTGCATCAGATAAGAAAAAAAATTTATAACACAAACTGCGAGTCTTTCGCCCCATAGGATGCATGTTAACGAGGGTTTACCATACCAGTAAATAAATTTCAAGATTCAATTTATCTTTATAAATGTAACTGGTGATTAATTCCTTATACGAAACTGAATTATGTTCCCTCATCTCAAGTAATGCAATACATTGTAAAAAATGTTTTATTGAAGTTAAATACAATATGTTAAAATTACTTTATTTTCATTTAGATGTAGTTCTATACGTTTTACGAAATAAACTCAATTTTGTGTTGTCTCTACAACGTAAGTTTAAAATTGTAGTAATAAATGAATGCCATTTCACGTTATTAACAAGACATTTACCTCCCTCAGAAGCGTTGAAAATTTATTTTATTTTTCCCCTCAGGGAGTAGCTCCTTTGTATTGCGTGTGCACGAGTGTGACCGTGTGTGTGTACGACGCTGGGAATATTTTATTTAATTTTTTTATGTATGTTATATAACCATTAATAACATGTTTGTTTTATTTGTTTAATATACAGGATTATTCCCTTACATAATTGGACGGTACTGGTTCCACGTGCAGGATGCCAGCGAGTGAGTGTTTCCACGGCCCGAGGAACTTCCTTAGAAAATGCTAGAAAAACGTTAGGCTCACACGCAAAGAGCACGGGCAAAACAAAAGTATTCTCATCTAACGTCTTGAGCGGCACCGAGCGTCGGAAGTAGTGATGCGAGATCGATAACGAAACATCGATGTTCATATTGGCTAAAAACCATCAATGTTTTTCAACATCAATGTTTTTAGACTATATTAATAATATCTAACATTAAATTAGTGTGCATTAAAATCTGACAGTGTTCGTGTTTATCAATTCGCCGAATAAGGGTGCGAGAAGCGGGGGCATTTGTTGACCATATCTCAATGTGCGAAATGAATACGCAGAAAGAGGAAATATAAGGGTCTGGAGGTCATCTCAGGCGAGAGAGTTTGGTCAATGCCGGTAGTACAAGTACAGCGTTCCTTTGGTTCCAACACATGAACTAACAATGTTACAATCAGTTATTTCATATTTTTACTTTTACGGTATTGTGATCAAGGGAATTTTTCATTCAGAAACAAAACATCGGAAAAGAAAAAAACATCGGTCACAAAACATAGATGTTAATAACATCGATGTTAATACATCGATGTTTGATGTTTCTACAAAAACATAGATGTTTTGAAAACATGGATGTCGCATCCCTAGTCGAAAGTACATGCTTTGCCCCGAGTCACTCGCCCTCAGGTTACGTTCCCCGATCGAGGGGGCTTTGGAAGGCGGAGCAGGTGCTGTCTGGCAGCGCGATGACGCAACCGCCCCCGGCGGCGACCGCGACCCTCGCAGCGCGAAAGGAGGTGGCGAGGTCGACGGCTCCGCCAGCGGCTCGCTCGCTGCTCGCATCCGCGGCCCAGCAAGTGGCAAACACTCTTCCACGTTCTTTTCCGGAAAATGTTACTTACTTTTTACCTTCCCCCAACGGAGTACAGAGAAAGTTTGTGATGCTGCGCGAAAAATAGGCCGATTCCTCGGCAGAAAAATTCTTTTTACTGTGTCATGGTGACAACAAGTGGATAAATCCACTTGCTAAATTTAGGGGAGGGGGAAACCTTTACTATGTGGCGCCTACAAAATCCAAGTTTTGTGGGTCCTTGATACCGAAAAATCGAATGATATCAAAACGTCTGTCCGTCTGAGAAGACCGCTAGCGGCTAAACTGTGCAGCCGATTTTCTCCAAAATTGGAATTCCCTGATTGATCTGATTAATGTCACGGCCCCTAAAATTTAAAACCTATATTTGAATTCTAAGGGGTACATTGCGCTAAGCCCCTAGGAAATTTTCAACATTTTTCAAAAAAATAACTCTATCATTTTTATTAAATTTTGTTGTTGGATAGGGCGTTTAAGAGAATGATAAAGGTCTCATGTTCGATAAAACCCCTGTTTTTTTTAAAAAATTGCGAAAGTTCTATTTTTTAAAATCTTTCTACAACTAAAATATTAAAGATAGAGATTTTTACGTTTAATGAAATCTGTTCCTTAAAGATAGATTTTAAAAAAGGTCATGCACAATTTTTCCAAAATTTGAGTACTTTTCACACAATTCTGTGGGTGAGAAAGAACGTGCTATTTAGGTGTAAAGGTGCTAGCACCATTAGTTTATTTACGGAGTGGAGATGTACAAAAATGTTAGGGAATGGTATGGAGTATAGGACATTGGCATCATTAAAGAAAAAGATTTGAGGCGTTCTTTTGTAGTAGGTATTTATTTCTGCAGAAAGCTTTCTTAGTCGCATTGCGACCATCTTCAGTGCTACAAAAATAAATTAAGATATATAAATATAAAAGTAATTTAGATATATTCTTATTAATTTTTGTAGCATTGAAGATCCCAGCAATGCTACAGAAAAATCTTTTATCCAAAATAAAGGTCTACGAAAAAACAACGCCTCAAATCTATTTCTTTAATGTTACAAAAAATACGTAATACGACGTAAAAATGAACGGAGGATGAGAGTAAAATAAACAATAAATAAAGATCACGTAAACGCGGTGCACAGGAAAAGTGACATCTCAAAAAACATTTCTATTTATTAAAATTGTTTTAGAAAAATTTTTATTTAGTAAGACTTTTACAAGATAACCCAGATATTGGATAAAATGTTTTGTCGTTGTCAGCGACGGCTTCGCTTAGATTAAAATCTTTCTTTAGTAAAAAGCAAAATGAGCATTTTGGAGAGTGTCACTTTCCTTGTGGACTGACAATATGTAGTAGGTAAATAAAATTATGGCTGAACAATTTAATTGATGTGTAACGTGTGTGTATGTGTGTGCGGAAGGTAAACATGTGTGTTCAATATATGAATACTAAATGAATGAAATGAATTCAAAATTAACATACAAATTTGAAATAAATTCAAAATTTAGCATGGAAGAGAATATGTTGTTTTATATCGAGATTAATTCACAAAGTTTCGCATCTTTACTCTCGCAAGTTTCTAAAATGCTAATAAATTTATAGTTCTTGGTATTATTATGTGCACTGACAATAAGTTAAGATAATGCACAAAATAAAATAATATAATAAATATTAAAATGCATTTCTTCTTTTTCATTAAGTAGTACTGTGTAACACGCCTCATATATATATATATATATATATATATATATATATATATATATATATATTTAGTTAAGTCTTAAATTAGGGGAAAACTCCGCGTCACACGAACGAGTTAAAACTGGGTGCATTTTTCTCGGAAAGTGAATAAGAATTTCCAGAGACCAAGAAGGTTTCTTCTAACTGCATGGTTTGATACGAATTGTTTTCTACCGCATGACCTTCACGATCTACTACTGGAAACAGCGGTCAATGGACTGTGATCGGCTCGACTAAAAGTGTGAAAGCAAGTTCTGATTTTATTAGCAATTAGTTCAAAGTAAACGATACACAAAATTCATGCATTAAAAAGACGATAAATAAAACTACGAGATTTCTTAGTAGGGGGAGGTGACTGTATACTGCCGATTTATTGTGATCTCGGGTATGTCTTTTCAAATAATGCGTCAACGGATGCACGAAAGGCACATGTCCTGATATAGCTTCGTCTCCAGACATGCGGATGTTTTCACCTGACCGGGTGATGGGCGTCTACGGCAGGGATTTCCAATATCGCCCCCTTTAAACAATGCTTCATGGATCCCTTTGACATTTTTTTATAATATACGTCATACATAAGATAACACAAATAATTGCACCTAAACGAAGTGATAAAATTACATACGCAAAGAATATTAAGAAAAGTTTTAAAAAATAGGTTTATGTATAATTATTTTTGTACATTTAAAATTTTCAGCGTTTAGAAATTTAAAGAAGTATTATTACATGTTCTGAACCTTTATATTAGAAAATAATTAATAACTTCATTTATTTTATTTTTTGTAATCAATAGGATCTTAATTACACACTTCATTTGTCGTGTGTATTCGGCTATCGACCCCCATTCGATCTGTCGATCATCATCGACCTCCAGGAGATCGGTACCGACCCCGTTGGGAGACTGTAGTCTAAGGATTTGGTGGCATCACAGCCTTCAAAGCGATGTCATTCGGGCAGCTTAGAGCATCGGCGTACATCCTGTGCGCACTGTTCTACATTTCACTTTGTGCTTTTTGATCTTTTAGCGTAGTTCCTTGGAAATATAGTGAATGCTTCTTTTGCATGAATTCCTTTATTCGAACCTTTTTTCGGCTACTTTGTAAGCAACGCATTGGACCTTGGCCTTCAGTTTGAGTCCACCCTCGCTTGTAATGCCGGGACGCGCTATCTCGTTCACTTCGGCCCTTTTTGTCGATTCCAACCTAAAGTAAATAAATCTGAAAAGCATACTTTTTTTATTTTTATGATAAAAACACGTAGTCATTTCAAAAATTACGTATAAAGATATAACAATTTTCCAAAAACCATCCTGTTAGAATTTTATTGCAGGACGTGAGACGTAAATTTAATCTCTTTAGAACCTTTGGTTTTCGAGAAATTACCATTCTGCGTATTTCCTTCTAGAAATTGGGAGAGAGAGAATGAGAAGTTAAGGTCCGTGCTAAAATATCGTTACAACGCTACAATTGTGATAATTTATATAAGTTTTGTACAGATGGAAATCTACATAAAAATGAATTGACAGAAAATTGGAATTAATATAATACTCTTGTCGGTGTAAAATGTTCCGTAATCTGCTTGAGATGTTTATTCACATTCAATGAGACAAACGATTAAGCAGTAGAAAATAAAATCCTGAAAATTCTCTGAATAGTGATTAGAGATCTGCTGCTCTAAGTATATTGAGGAATTCTTAAGGTAAAATAATATCCTTAAGGTATAATCATATCATTACCGTCTTATTTGATACGATCTATTGGTGCTGGCTGTAATTGTCAAGAACGCAACAAGGCTCTGTACACAAAATAATTCAATAGTATAAAATAATGTGATAATAAGATATAAAATAATCTGCTGTATTACACGACCCTCTGTTGTAGAATCCATCATGTTAATGAGTATAGGTATAAAATTAAGACAATATTATGTCCGTTTGCCGATGTTTCGGAGTTTATTTCTCCCTCATCAGAGCTAAATATATCAACACGATTAGAACAACGTATAACTCAATAATTATTAACAAGTATCATGGAAGCACACACTTCCAACCACAAAATAATATTTTTTATTATATATTCATAATTTAAAAAATTACAAAATTATATTTATAATAAAAAACAATCTTACTTGGGTACGGAGTAATATAAAAACAAAGTAACACACTTCACGACACTCTGAGCTCCGTGAGCTGGCATGTTGACCCGTGCATACGGACTACATAATCACGACTGAAATGGTGCGCCCAACACTCCCTCCCAGGAAACCCAGTCACTCAAACCTAACCAATGAGTCCGAAGTAAAATATAATGTAAAATAACAAGCTTTTTAAACTTGCGGATGAAGTTGATTTCTAAAGATTAATATAATTTTGTTTGGTACACTTACTTGATCATATTTATAAACTATTTTTCACTTGATACTCTCATCTTTCACTCAATAGTTTCGTATCACTCTCTTTTTTCCAGTGGTTTTCTCACAATTTACTTCACTCCGTATCTGGGAGAAGAATATGTACGCTTACAACGAATTGTCAGCTGCCGTGCGTACCGTGTCGATTAGTAGCCTCAAAAGCCTACTTCACCAAATGGCTGATGCATGACTGGAATGCTCGGCTTAGGCACAGCAAAGAAGTCGAATCAGTAAAATCTGAACGAAGTGTTTTTGTGCTTGGGTCTAGGCCACAAGAGCTGAACAATGCGCGAATGTCGAGGTGTGATGTCACTTGCCGGGACCGCTAAGCATGTTGTCCTGCGTGCCTAATGCAGCAGCAGCGGAGCTTTCCACTTACGGGGACAACCCATAAAGATTCCGTTCAAATAAAACGAATGGCCAAAATGCTTGGAATAATTCACTACGATACTGTGCTACAAAGGTATCAGAAAACAGGTTGGGCGTAAAAAAATAATTATTACAGGTCTTACAGTCCTGTTTTATTGTAAATCAGAGCTCGCATTGACCTTGGTTTTACGTGGACCTTGAAGGGTCAAAACAGTGCCAGGGCACACGTCTCTTATGGCCATGCTCGTAAATCACAACGGAGCAGGCTGCCCATTATGTGAAATTCAAGCAAAAAAGCTTTGATTGTACCAGATGGTCGGAGAGATGAAAGCGTGCCCAAACTTAAATTCAAAACGACAACATGAATAATTCACAATAATCCTTACGGTTTTATTAAACGTGAAAATAAATAGAAATACCCACAGAAATAAAAATTTGATGGCAGCATTTTGAAAATTCATTTCTGTACACTGGATTACAATGGTCTAACACGGACAGAAGATAAATATAATAGCCACTCTCGAGCACATTTAATATGTATTTACTACCATTATTTTGTTTCTTCAATGATCAAACACAAGTAGTTACGCTCATTCAGAAAAATGATATCTCACAATATGGTGATGAAACGAACAACAATAATATCATGTCACCCGACATTTTCTTTCGTAGTATAATGTAGTACAAGCACACTATCTTTGTCGAATTATATTTTAATGGTGAAATGAAGAGCTTGATGCAGAAACCCTTCATGTCCACTTTCTATAACTACATTTCTCTGCTCGCAATGTTATCACTGGAAATCCACTTAAAATACAAGAGAGTGATAGGTGTCTATTATTAATTACAGATATAAGATAAGGCTCCATATACGAAGCAAAATACCATTACCCTGGAAATTATTCTAATTAGCATGAAAATCTTCATTTGGGTACAATTTAGATTCAAAAACAGTAGATGGAACTCTTGGCGTTCCTCTTTTAATAAACTGTTTATAGATTGAGTAAAAACTCAGATTCTTACATTTGTGTACAAAATAAAAATATTGTAACCGTTTTAAATAACGTAAGATTCTTAAATGGAGTGATGCACGTGACCATTTTTTATAGAATCTGAAATTTATTGAACACAGGATATTGTGTATACAGACGGATAAATTTGTATAAAACATCCATCATATCCGCAGTCAATTGTGGATATAACAGCTGTCAAAAGATTTCTTTTGAAAACCTGCATGATCTGGACATGTACCATATTAAATTTGCAAATACGCGTCACCACACTTAAGGGGAAAAAATATGTGGAAATCAGAATATGAAAGTATTAAATGGATCTTACTGAAAAATATTCACGGAAAATTTAGGGTTAAAATTCAACACGATCCAACACAAATAACAACACTAAGCATGTGGCAGCAGCAAAACAAATGTTTCACAAAGGAAAGCAATTACGTTTTTCATGAAAAGGGGCTATATCAAAAAAATAATGTTAAATCTAAAAGATATTTGTGAACGGTTTTTTAAATACACCGCGCCCTTACAGAATATAAGCAGAAACCCATTACGTCCAACATATTTAATATTCTATGTGTCGGAGCTGAATATTAGTTGAAGTCTAGCAAAGAATGGTGAGACCCGGCGCCGACCTGCCCGTCGGCTAGCTGGTTTTTCCCAACCAGGTATCTCTCACCAGCGATACACTTCCCCAGACGGAGCAAGCTCTAAGTCCCCGATCAGTCTTCCGACATGTATGGTAGTGTTGTGCATGCGAGTGTAAGCGGTGAGCTTAGGTCAAGGAAGTGGAAAGATAATGGCGCGAGTTCCGTTGGCAGCTTGTTAGGGTAATAATGCGACATTCGCCTGGTATTGATCGGAGAAACCATGGAAAACTACGAATCAGAGCAGCAAGTGAGTAGCGATCCGAGTACCTCGAGACAGCAAAGTGAATTCGAACTAGCTATGTAGCTAGTGCCAAAAATCCGGCCACTGTCGGAACACGAACGTAGGACCTTCCACTCAGAGGCGTCAATCTAGGAAAATTTAACAATATACTACATTGTGAACAAAAACCACTCACAAATGTTTTCCAACATGAAAGCAGAACTCTACCTGAAAGTTTGATTCCTTTCTGAATTGTGTAGCAGGTAACGATCTACAAGAAAATGCATTCCTGCGTCGAATGTACTTCACGATATTGCACCAAACAATTCTCCCCAGTAGCGGAACTGGATTGTAAGATATGGTTGATAGTTCAAGGTAAGAATTCGCTTGAAAGGTTACCTCTTTGCGATAAGGCTTTCAAAGGAACCTGTTCTCAGTCCAATAGTTCCGCTATTGTGTATGTTACACCTTACAATTGAAAACTCTGCATTCCAGAGGAGAACAAGGCCAAAGATGGACTTAAGATAACAAACACATCAGTTCGATGAAACAAAACATGGTCAAATGTCATAAAGATTATTCACTACCTACTTGTTCATACAGCTTCGAATTTGCTACTTTAAAATTAATAACATATTTCAATACGTATCTACTGAAAATTAATCAGCAAATATTATTCTCGAGCTCCGCTATCTGAAAATAAATTGTACATTGAATAACCGTAGCTCAAAAGTCGTGCTTCATTTATAATTATTTTTTATTATAATAACTATTCATAAATTTAAGATTACATATTTATATTTCTTAACCACATATGTTTGCAGGCGCAAACATAATCTCCTTTACGTGAGAAAAACTCTCGCGTGGAAGGGGAATAAATTTTCATTCTTTCTTTAGCCAGTGATATTTGATGTTTACTTTGAAAATGAGTTGTGAATACACATCATTTATGAGTGATGGGTAGCTGTTATTGCTTGTGTTGCAATTTCGGATTTTATCCACGCATTAATTCCCCCAATTCCTCTTCTTTGTGAACGAGGGTAACTCAGTAAACATCGGAGAAGCGATTAAGTATAAATTTGAACGCTAGGTTGTCATTGAATATTCTGGAAACAAGACTCGGAAAATGACGAATCATCCACAAAGTATGTGAAGGTGTATGAAATACAAGGTCAGCCATTCCGATATAACGGACACTGTGTTATTAGTTGTTGTTTTCTCTCGAGGGGAACAAAGTAATTATATACTCTATGAGCACATGCTTTTTGTTGGTATATAGCCATATCATTACCCAATTATACATGCAAAAATTAAAACTTTTGAGGGTTCAAAGACAACATTTTTCAAAAAATCTTTCATAATCGTTTCTGTAAAGAAGTAGCATATCTCTGCGAGCAGTTGACAAAAATACAAATTACATTTGAAAATTTCGCGATAATGAAAAAGCTCAGAACTTCCTGAAGAAACAAAAATAAAAATATAACTAGTTGAAGAAAACGAAGAATAAGAAGAAGAGGAGAAACAGGAAAAGGAGGGTGACTTAGTTACATCTACATATAAGTTAAATAAAAAAATATGCTGTGACCTTTGTCTGTTTTGATGAAGTAAATGAGAGATGTACGTGATATTTAACTGATGAAAATTCTAAAGCGTAAAATCGCACTATTTCCTAAGTTTCTGACGTTGAATGCGAAGTTAACTTAGCTTCGGCGCGAGTTCCGTTGGCACCAGACGAGGCAGACAAGCGAAGTGTTACCTCGAGGGTGCGGGGCGCCTCGACGAATCAGCGTCCGCCGCCCAGCGGACGCCGCCCCCCGGCAGCCAGCGTCCTCGCCCCGGGGCCGGGCCCAGGCCCGCGGCCAGCGCCTGAAGATGCGGCCGGACGCCACCCGCAGTGCGCAGCGCGGCTGCGGGGCGCAGCATCGCCACGGCGACGGGCGCGTCCAGGCGGCGCGAAGCAGGAAGTGCGCCTTTGGGACGACCGGCGCGGCGCGGCGCGGCGCGGAGCCCCACGTGGGCAGCGGGCGCCATGCGGCCCTGACGCGCCCACCGCCTCGCCCGCCGCCCGCCCTACCGCCCCTCGCCGGCGGAGGCCCTGAGCCGGCCTCCCCACCACGCACGCCACGCGCCCCGCGCCCCTGCACCGCGAAAAACACGACGCGCACCTCCCCACCAACGGACGGGAAACACAATGCCAAAGCCAGCCTCAGACAAAAAAAATTGTCCTGGTATTTCAACATCTCAAACATCACACACTCAAGCAATAAAGTGCGTGAGCGTAAACAAGTAGAGTAGAACCCTGGTATTTCGAACTGATTGGGGATGTGGTGTGTTTGGATTCGAAAATATTCGGATTATACAAATACATCAACAGGATTACAAGACACATTGCAATGTAGCGTGGGAAAATGGCAATGTGACGTAGCGAACGCATCATCACATCGTATCATTAAACAGATTCAGTTCCTTACGGCAAAAGACATGTGATATACATCGCAGTTCAATAAATGTTTCATTTCGATAACTTGTGATTCAATAATTAGTTTTCCAGTTCTACAGTAAATATAAAACCTTTTCTTTACACTACAAATATGTATTTTATTTATTTTGTGTAGTTTTTCCTCTACTCTAAATTTTGTTTGGATTATCCCAAATTTCGGATTAGTGTGGTTCTACTTTTAACTTCAAATTAAAGACCGACGTTAGTGCAATGTAACACCCTACCAGATTTAAGTCATTTCCACCCCAAATGTCAAACTTCATAAGGTACGAATGTTTCAGAAATATTAATTTAGCAACTAGGAATTTCATAGAAAGAATAGAAAAAAAGCGTAATTACCGCGTCTTTCTATTCTACACATACACATGCCACATTACTATTAGTGCTAAAATTCACTGTAGGAACATTCTAGAAATTTATTTCATTTAAAATACCGGTTAGAGAATCACATAGAAAATTAATTTCCGTCAGCATCTTACGTATACATTGAACGTGTCCCTTCATAACAAGATCTATCATGATAACGAAATACTAGGAAAGGTTACAATGATGAAATAAGGCACAGATCTATTGAAGAAACGTAATTTAACCTGTCATCCTTCCCAAAAAAGCAATAATTCTCAAATGTAACTAAAACAGAAGATAATAGAACAATACTCCAGGATTTATTTCTAGGCAGTCAATTATTTTTTATTTTAGCAATTATTGACTACAGTTTCAAAACTTATTTTAGTTTCTTTTTTAAGGTATTCTGAACCATTATGTAAATTAAATTATAAAAGCTTGATATAATGATGCAAAATTAGATGAAACATTGTTAACAATCTCCTATTACAAGTTATAAAGTAAGTCTAGAAAACCTACCTAAAACAGTAGAGATAATGTTGCATTAAAATAACGACAGGTCTTCAGAAAGTTCCTATGGAACGCTACGTAATAGGAACATGACAATACATGTACATTCACGTATTAAAGAAGATATTTTGATAATTTTTCCAGCATAATGATAATGTACATACAAAGTAGTTCAAAGTGCCAAATAACATGTATGTAAGACCCACGATTAAAAACAAAATACTTACAGAACGAATACATCGAAAAAAACGTCAATAAAATTTGAGATGTTACGACAAGGGCAGGGCGGCGCGAAGGCTGCGAAGAAAGCACAATGTGGTCGGGCAACGGGACGTGCCCGCGCCCCGCCCCGGCCGCCCAACGCCGCCCAGCGCCCGCCACGGCAGGCGCGCTCGGCGCACGGCGCACGGGCGGTGGGCGCGGTTGCATCACAAGGTGACAGCGGCCGCGCCGTATAAAAGCGCCCGCGCGCCTCGCTCGCCACACAGCAGGCCGGACCAGCCCCGCAGCCACCAGCCACAGCCAGCACCGCAGACCGCCCAGACATGAAGCTCGTGGTGAGTGCAAGTGACAGTGATTCCCGGGGAGTGCAGGGCCGGGCAGGGCTTCTCGCTTGTGCGGGCGGGGCGAACGAGTCTCCGGGTGCGGACCAGTGAGTGATGAGCGCGTGCTCTCTGTTGCAGATCGCCCTCGCTGCTCTCGTCGCCGTGGCGGTGGCGTCCCCGCAGTACGGCCACTACGGTGCCCCCGGCCCCTACGGCGGCGGCTACGGCGGGCCCGGCGCCCCGAACGCGCTCCCCGCCGACACGCCCGAGGTGGCGGCGGCTAAGGCGGCGCACTTCGCCGCGCACGCGCAGGCGCGCAACCAGAACGGCGCCCCCGGCGCCTACAACCCCGGCGCCTACAATCAGGGCGCCTACAACCCCGGCGCGTACAACCAGGGCGCCTACAACCCCGGCGCGTACAACCCCGCTCCCTACAACGCCGCCCCCGCCTACAACCAGTACAACGCCGCGCCCTACGGCCACGGCCAGTTCGGCCCCGGCGGCCTGCCCCAGCCCCCTCAGGACACCCCCGAGGTGGCCGCCGCCAAGGCTGCGCACCTGCGCGCGCACGCCGCCGCGGGGGGCAACCCGCACTACGGCTGAGCTGCTGAGCCGGCCTGCTGTTCTCTCTTTCTAATAAAGTTCTTTCCTAAAACGTAGCCGCCTCTTCTTATTTGAGACCCTACTCCTCCTCCTACTCCTCATCTTCCTTTCACGTCCGTTGACTTCGCCCTGCAGAGGGTCACCTGGAAAGGGTACGGCACGTACGGGAAGTCCTGGTGAAGTACCAAAGAAACGCATACAACTAACAAAATGGTAGCATGCAGTTGTTTGTCGTCTGATGTTAACTCCAAGTCCAAGTGTTAGGTTTTCAAGCATTTGCATGAAAATCGATGCGAATGTTTTAGTCCTAAAGGCAAGTTTATAATGATTCTTATTTTGCACTTGCATTTAGATGTATAATAGTATTTGCGACAATTATTGGAAAGTGTTAATTCAATATTATTTTATTGACACGCTTGCATTAGTTCAAGAGACTACATGGATATTATTTCGTAATTCAAGTTTAATTATAATTTTTAATATTTAAAACATATGGTTTGTGTGGAAATGCATAGAAAATTGACGTAAATTTTTGCTATTTACTGAAATACAAATCAAAATGTGGAAGCTTATCTCTCAAATTAACTTTATTAATAGCGGTGTTTACATATGTCTGTTGAACCGTGATAAGCTAGAAACTCCGGGTTTAATTTCGATGGTGAATACGGCATCAAGTGGGTGTGATACGATGCAATTGCATGCAGGCTTGCGAACCAAAGAATATACGTTGTTAGGGCAACCAATAAACAAAGTGTAGTATTCTATGCTTGGTGTCATTGCGCTGTTCAATTGTGGAGACAATGTCCTGGGAACATTACAAGCAAGAGGTATAGAGAAGCAATTGGAATTGGAAGCCGTTATTCTGTGGGATTATGGAAATACTCACTCTCTCATAAGCTCATCCCATGTAAGCAATCGGTGCGTTGCGAATATTTTTTTCAGTATAGACTGTGGTATTGATTAAATGATAGTAATGGTAACTTCTGATTTGTTTTGATAGCTTGTCGTTGTGCTGAATAATAGGTCGAAATTTGCATTGAGTTATAATTGTAAATTTTGTTAATATAATTTGGGATTTAAATTCAAATATACTCCGTATTTCTAAGGGATTTTTATTAGGATGGCTCCGAAGATGGGGAGGAATTTTCAATGAGTCGGTTAAAGATAGTCGCGTGAATGTTTTTCATCGGAGGCACAGCTAGTGCTAGTCGTGTCAGTGACATTATTTAATAGAAATTACTGAAACCTATAAAGTATCAAATAGTCGAGCATATTCCGGGAACATAATCTATTCTAACGATAGGGAAGAGCACGATAATAGGTGTATCTAGGTCATTTTTCGGACAATCTCGTGCCCGAACACATCTGAGAAAAATATACATCCAAGAAGAACATCTGAGAAGGCAGAGCAGTAAGCGTACGAACTGTATTCAAATTCCTGGTACCTTAATGTTTGTACAGAGGAAAAGTTAATCATTTCATTCATAAACTCAATAGAATTTTTTAATAATATCAGAATAAATGTTAAATTTTTATTTTTGAAAGAAAACGAAAGGCTGATAATTTATAGTAGTTGCCATTAATTCAATAATTAGTTTGTATCCTCAGAACTTCCATGAATCGTAATTCTGTATAGAATTACTCGTCCATATGCAGCAGGTACGGAGAAGCATAAATGTCGAAACCCATGATTAAATTTTAAAGTAAAATTAATATAATAATATTTTAAGTTTGAGAGAATTTATGAGTATAAAAGGGCAACAAAAGTAATAATAATACTGACAATAGCAGAGGAAGTAATTCCTTCATAATATTTATATAATTGTTTGTAAATAGTAACAAGATTTATTTAAAGTAATATCAGTAGCATAAGCAGAAATTGCACATATGACTTTGCCAACGCGGGGCAACAAAATCATAAGTTGGGTAGAAGTTGGTATATCACAGCACATTGCAGAAAATTGTGATTTATGATACCTCAAAGTTGAATGTAACATTTTAAATACATTTAGTTTGAATGTCCAATGATAAGTTATATTTTTAAAGATTTATATGAAATTCCATCTATAATATATAGTCAAACTCCAATACAACAAATGTACTCATGCTAATATTTGTTTTAGAGCCTGTCTGTTAAACTGTGAGTAGTTTATAGAACTTCTTGTTTGATAGTAGGGTGTAAGAAAAAGGAATATTTTTTATTTATCGCAGAACGTTGAAAGGGCCATGTCATTTTCAACATTTTTTTTACTTACTAGTGATTTTATCATCTTACGTAGTAAATTTTGTCATAACTCACGAGACCTCAGTCGGAAACTTTTCTATGAATCTGTATTTGCTTCAAAAAGTGCTGTGTCATCCCATGTAAGCAATCGGTGCGTTGCGAATATTTTTGTGCTCTGTGTTATATTTGTGCTCAAAAATGCTAAAAATGAGATTTTGTTAGGGATTGCGTAAAAACGTTAAATCTATTGAGGGTACAAAGAGCTACCTCCCAGACCACTTTTACGCCGAGTCATTCGTTTGCGAATTTAGGTATGTGAGAAGAAACACGCGTTGGCGTATGAAGTGGGCTCTGTCCCGGGTGTTCACGAAGGTGTTCAATGACCACTCTTCATTATAAGAGTGACTTCATTACATTGGGATAGATTTAAAAACCAAAACAAAAAGATGTGTAATACGCGCAAATTTTTAAACCCCATTTATCTGAAAATTGATATTTTTGTCGTGGGAGAAGTGTCTAGCGGGGGAGTTGAAGGGCGGTAACGGCAGAAGGGCCGTTCCATATTCTCCTAAAGGTCTAAGGTGGATGAGAGGGAGAACAGGATTGACCACGGTCATGGCATACAGCAGTTTATTGGGGAGGTGTTTCTTACATAGGCACCTGACGTAGCCGTCTCCCCGAGGACTGTTCTCCGGAAGAGAGACTTTTCAGCGGCCATCGGGCACTCGGCGACACTTGAAGAGCACGGAGATCAGGCGTAAACCTGCTAGCAGGACCACGGAGGGTCGGTCTACACTAGCGGGGTGGAGGAGTTTTGGCAGGGACAGTTCGAGCAGATCTGAACTGACGGAGGGGGGAAAGGATGTCGGAAGGGCCAATTTGGGACGAATTGAACCGACTAGGGGTGAAGGGAAGTGAGCAAGGCAAGTTTGGGCCGATCTGAACAGACGGAGGAGTAGAAGGTCCATGCACATGGGTGACGAACTCATGAGAAGCATAACAGCAATCCCTGCCAAAACCCAGGTAAATCCGTTATGTAGGCCTTTACTGCTGAGACGCTCTTTTCTAGGCGGAGCTAAGCAATTTTGTTACGCGGGCTCCAGCGGCCTGCGGCCACGCGACATTTGGCACAGAACATTCTTTACGCAGCAAACACATCGCATGAGACATCTGAATAGACTATAATCAGACACTGACGTCGGAGAATTATATTTTTTACTCGTTTCTGGGATGCTAAAAAATTATCAATACATTTGTAAGAAGATAGTATCTTCTCCTTCAACGAGTTTGTTACTAAGATCATTTGGACATACATGCAATACATCATAATCAAAAAGAAAATTTTAAAAAAAATGCATGTCATTGATGGTTATAGTCACGTTAGAAAATATTTTATTTTCTATTACGTTGTGAAGCATTTAATAATTAATAGTACATGTCATGCTGGCAAATATTGAGACTCACTCAAGATTTAAACGCACCTATTACGGCACTTTATGAGCATTGAGATTTGCTTCAGTTCATTGTGTTAAGCAGCTAAGTTTAACTGACCTGTGAGAATAAATTGATTCAATTTTCGAAAACAAGGAATATTGGTATCGGAATGGAATAAAATAAAAATATGGATAATTTCGAGTTTGACAAATATCTGTTACGGAGGAATTATTATTACATTTAGTGTTGTCATTAAGTAGTTCTGAAGTAAACGTCATCATCTCAAGCGACAACTTTGTGGTTTAATTTCAAAACAAATAATTTCAGTGATTGCGTGATCGGACTCAAAAATCTAAGACCTGAGCACTTGAGTGAAACCATGAAAAGCAGAAGCTACAGACCTTAAAGACACGTTACGTTTACCGTTGTAGCCCTGCGGTGTGTTGTTTTGTGCAAGTGTCAGTCAATCGCTTATCCCAAGCGGAGCAGCACGTGAGCTCCGGGCCTTGGCAACCAGCGACATAACCGGTCGGCGACGCGCCGGCGATGGGCCCCCGACCTGCCAATAGCCCAAATGTCAACCTCCAAGGGCGCGGTGGCACGAAACCGTTAGGGCAAGTGACGCCGAGTATTGTTGCCAAGTATGTTTCATCCATCAAAGGTAATTCTTATTCATAAACAGGCAAGAATAAAACGAACAATATTCATTAGCAAGTACAGGTTTCAGGCGAAATATGAGAATTTGCAAATTTGGCCTCAGCATTATTTATTACAGTCACGTCTCGATGAGTGGATCAAATAATTTAAATTTGGAATGGAAGAAGAAAAATTGAATTAAGTCACTTTGCCAACGAAGACCAATGAAGTAGTGTAATTATTGCAAAATTTTTGTACATTCAATATCCATAAAAATTCCTGAATTTTAATTTTTTATAAACCAATAATTTAAAGAATCTAAAAACTAATAAACCATCATGATTAAAAATCAATAAATTGAGTATTGACTTTTCCATATGAATAAGTAGATATAAAATACTTTACAAGTAAATATCTTAGGTGCACATTATCTGTGATAATCTGAAAAATGTAATTATTTATTTAAAAGAAGAATTGTTTATAGATAAAACGCATCCCCGGTTAAATGATAACATTTTACCTGGACGATTTTTCTTCTGCAATAGATGATTAAGAATATCACACCACAGAATTTTTGCACCAAAAAATATTAAGCTAGTGAGTATTGCATAAGCGAATTGTGATGATAAATATATAATTTGATATAAACAGTAGTCATATTTTTGTAAATAATATGCGACCAAATAATCTGCCATTACCTGTAATC